CAGACTGCCCTTTGGGGCTCCTACTGGTGACTTGTACAAGCATGATGAAGTACGGAGAACCTTATCAAAATGTGACCGGACAAAATACATCCCTGACCCAAGGCTGACACACCGGGTGCGGAATCCAGCAGAGCTCCTCTGGAATGAAGGGCAAGGTCCCTCCTACTGTGGTCAAACAGGTGGGCCAGAGAAGGTTTTTCATGGTCAGATCCAAAGCAGAAAGGCGGTGTAAGAGTAATGTCAATTATGCACCTAGGAGAAGAGAAATTCTAGTTTCTGAGTCAGGAACCTCTGATGAAAACAAAAACAAAACACCAAAACAAACATACTGAGAGAGAGACAGGCAGGCAGGAGATAAGAGACAGAGAGAGAGAGAGAGAGAGAGCGAGAGAGAGCACGCACCAGAGAGAAACATAAGGTATCTTTTCAAATTTCTTTTCAAGGGTCATCTCTACTTCCAACCATACTGCACAACATTCTCTGAAGACAGTACATGCTCCTCTAACTAAAAATGCAAATGCAAATTTTCTCATTTTAAAGAGTAAATATTCCTCAAACTCCCACAACCATAACTACTTGCCATGCTGGATGTGCCTTCTGTTCTGAGACCCACCTCTCCACTCACCCCAGATCCTATACCCTTCTCAGTCAAACAAGGACAATTTCAATCACTCCTCTCCCCTCCCGCTCCCTGTTCACTTTTCATCTCCCTCTTCTCACACCTCTCCCTCTCTCTCCACCTCTTCTTCCCCTGCAGGGCATCAAGTTTCCCTTCTTACTTCGGGATCATCCCGTTAGCTGCCCCTGCTTTCTCGCTTCGCGTCTTCCCTTCAGCCCATCGCTAACAGGAATACACTCCCATCCCATCCATCCAGACCACCACAGACCTCCGCGCCGCTGAGTCCCGTGACCAATTTCAATCTTTCCGTGCTTGAATAGGAAGCAGCATTTGACATAGTCGAGCACTCATCTCCTTTGTGTTTAACATTAGAAACTCCTAGAGATGAACTCTTGGACCTCCTCTTCGAGCTGTACACATTATCTTCCCTAGTCTTGTGGTTTTAAACATTCTAATAACGGTTAATAATGGCACTGCTAGTATTAATATGCTAATAATGCCCATGTTTCTCGCTCTGACTGATACCTTGCCCCTGAACTCCAGAGCTCCAGAGCTCACGCACCATTCAACATCACTCACCACTTAGGACACAACAGTCCACCAAACTTACCCTATCCTAAAACGACCTTCACCTACCCTTTGAGTCTGTTCTTTTCATAAACTTACTCTCATCAAATAACTATGTCAGAATGACAATTGCACAAGCTAAAAACTTTGAAGGCAATCTTAACTCTCCAATTTCACACTCTACATCCAATCTTTCAGCAAATTCTGTTGCCTCTGTTTTCAGATTTTATCCACTAACTGGCTAGATTTCATTAATGCAAACAGTTCCATTCCAGCCCTAGTCAACATCTCTCACCAGAATTACACAGTAGCTTCAGATTTTTTCCCTGCATCATTTTTTACCAACACACAGTCAGTTCTAGGGACAGGGGTCAATTTGACTTTTTCATAACCTCAGTCATAGCATACCCCCATCTCCCTCCCATGAAATCCTAACTCCTAACAGTGGCCCCTAAGACCCTCCACAGACTGTCGCCCCTGCCTACAACACACCTGATAATGATTACTCCCACTCTGTCTTCTCACTCTACTGAGCCGTGATGGGCTCCTTGATGCTCCCTGGAAATGCTAAGTCCGTTTCAGGGCTGTGGCATGTGCTGACTCAATCCTTCTACCGGAAGACAGCAGTAAGGCTTGCTCCTTATCTTCCTCGGTCTTTGCCCCTTTATCTTATTCTCGGGGAGATTTCTCTGACTAGACTACTTAGAACAGAAACTCCATCATCAGGCTTTCTGAAATAGCGAAAATAGATTAAAGAGACCTGCTACACCGAAAGGCCTGGAGACAGGAACCACAGTATTCTTCAGCAGCTCCCAGGTCCTAACTCCGCTTGATCTGGACGGGGACCGTGCCTCATGGTAGGCATTTCTAATCACTGTGCCGATCCACTCAGATTCATTCAGATTCGCAAGCGCTGATGAGGCCAAATGAGCCAGCAAGACCTTAGCAGCACGTTTGTGGGATTCAGCATCAAACAAACACAAATCCAAGAAAAAGAAGGCTAGTGTGCACGGATATCTATGCCTTTCCACTTCCGGGTCACTCTGCGAAAGCTCATGATTTGCTGAGGTAGTTCCTATCTATCCATCCATCCATCTGCCTGTCTGTCCATCCAACCCTCCATGCGGTATTTCTATCTCGTGCTGGGAACAGAAGCCAGGGCATCACACACACTAAGCACCTGCTCTAGGACTAAGCCACACCCCCAAACCCTCAGACAGATTCTCAAATGAACATTCTTATTAACTAGAAAGGCTTCTCAGAAAAAGTTTTGCAACAAGGCATATATTTTGCTAACCTTTAATTAAAATCATAGAGTAAATACTGTGCTTGTCTCCTCCAGACTCTGAATTTTAAAAAATAAAGCACGGACTATGGAATCAATAAACCTTTTTCACACAATTAGTACTCTGCTTAGTGTCCTACAATTATTTTCCAATCTTGTGGGCAATGGTAATTTCATTAATTTTGGAAAGACAAAGAAAATATTTATGGGCCTCAGGAAGAACTTTTATTTTTCAACTATCAATCACCAGTAGGATGGTAACCATAAAAACATTAAAATGTTAAATCTCTAACAAATTCATTCTGAAATAACTTGAGGAACTTCTTTGGGCAGGGTGGTCAAGATAGGGTCTTGCTACGTAGTTCAGGCTGGCATTCAATTCGCTATATAGCCCAGGCTGGCCTCAAACTCACAGGATCCTCCTGCCTCAGCCTCCCAGAGTGCTGGGGTTATAGGCATGTGCTACCTAACACCCAGCCTTCATCTTTTGATTGTAAATGAAAGAACTACTTAGCAATTGGTTGATGAGACTGTATGACTATGTTAAATATGTTTTCCTATAAAATGTAATCATCTCTTCAATACATAATGTCTCAAACTTACAATGAGACTGTGGAGAGGGACTGAATCATGAAAATGGAATTGTTAGGAATGCATTTTCTGGGCTGGGGATTCAGCCCAGAAGTAGTGCACATGCCTTGTGAACACAAGGTCCTGAGTTTGATCCCCGATACCGGGCGGAGGGGGATGTATTTTCCAAGTGTTTACTGAATTGCTATTATGTACCCTGCACAGCACCAGAAAAAAATTAACATTTCTCACCCTAAACAAGAAAAGCACAGGTTTTCTATCAAGTACACAATATAAAAATAAGATCCTCAAAACATAAAATTAGCAAATTGTTTCCTACCACCATTAAAAGAATTTAAATTACTTATCTGGGAGAGGAAGGAATAACTAAAGGGATAATATCTCAGATGCCAGGGGCCAGAAGTTGTACTTGCAGAAGCAGCAGTGTCCAGCCTCCCTATAAACAAATCCACCCTCACTTTCCTTATTAACCAAGGCAATACTTATTAGGGTTAATACTTGTTTAATACTAATCTTAAAAATTCAAGCGTAAGGGAAAAGCTAGAAAAACAGAGTTCTAATTCCACTATGTCCACACTGCTTTTTCCAATCTACTGTCCTGTTGCTGTTGCGTTTTCCTTCATACCAAGATGTCCCACACTAATGAGGGACCAAAGGAAAAAAACTCCTACATAAGATCATCAAAACAGGAGCATTCTGATTGCCTACTTGAAGTCATTCAGATGCTTAGGTTTTAGAAAGAGAGGAATTTCATTTGGAAGAGATTTCCAAAGAGGAGTTTTCTAACCAAATGAATAGCAAAAGTAAAAAAGTTAAGCTAACTGCTGCAGTATTAGATACAAATAATATTTGGTATTATGCAAATGTGTACTGAATGGGAGAAAAGGAGACAAACAGCTTAGTGGAAAATAAAATCGAAAGGCAGATGTATGTCTCGTTCTTTATCCTACATGCAAAAAATCACGATCTATTTAGACTTATATGTAGAAATATTATGGTATCCTTATGGAAGAGATTGTATGCAAGAATGGGGGTTACAAAAAAGAAAGAAAAAAGCCAACACAAAGAGGGAAATAGCAGACAGGATGACAGAATGAAGTAGATACCAGTGGCTATTGGCGAGTACATGAACAAACCAAACATTAATCAAACAAGGTTGGTAATGGATACACAATTTAAAAGAAAAAAATGTGCACATGTGATGAATAAAAATTACTAGCTAGGTGTGGTGGCGCACAATTGTAATCCCAGCACTCAGGAGGCTGAGACAGGAGGATCACTGCGAGTTCAGGGCCAGCGCTACACAGTGAGTTCAAGGCCAGCCTAAATTACAAGGTAAGACCTTGTTTCAAACCTCCCCAAAAGAAAATTATTAATTGGCCATAAATGACATGGGATTTTTGTCTCATAAACCTACTAAATAGCAAATTTAGCATAGGAATCATTTCGAACATTACTATTCAGCAACTAGATTTTTCTGATTGTTCACTCCATCAAATACTAAATATCCCTCAAATCAGATGTATTCACTGTCATCCAAATTAACATTTTATACAAATATTTTGGATTAATAAAATTCAGAACACAGTAATATAATACCTTCTTCAAACATGGATAAAAATACATAGTTTAACCAAAGTTTAAGTAAGTTAAGGGAGTTTTTTAGTAGGTTTTGATAACTATTTGCTAAGATGCCAAATAAATCAGTCTAAGAATTTCTGAGTGGAATAACTGTCTAGACCTCTAATTTTTTAGGGCAAAAGTGGAGACAAATACTATTTATGTATTATTATGCCCATTTATTAAAAACCATTTTATAAAAGCACAATAGTTTTGTCAAGGCACTTTAAAAGTTTTTCAAGTAGTTAATTTCTTAAAAACAAAAATAACCACTATAAAATATAAAATATTGATTATATGATCCAAACTTCCACATACCTTCTGGCTTATAACGCATGATAGTAACTCCAAGGAATGCTATTTACAGTTACAGGGCTTCACTTTGTTCAAACGGAGTCAAAAGAAAGCAAACTGTCTGCTCTGTTGCTGATTTTTAAGTGGACCTCACAATGAAAACTTTCTTCACTGTGTTTCGGGCATTTTGCCTTTACTTTTAACCACTAACACAGTGATGCATGATTGCCTTTAAAGCTACTGCCTTCCACCGACACCAAAACTGGAATCTTTCCACTATCAACTTTATTTACAGTTCCTAGCTTTAAGGCCAGCTAACTTCAAAACATTAAATCAGAGTGCCTCAAGAACTCAATTATTGTTTTTTATAATCTCATTCTCTGGACTTAATTACACAGTAATTATTCAACAATTAAAATTCAACTCAGCTCCAATTCAGTCTCAATTCACAAGACTTAGCATCGTACAAGAGGTGAACTCTGTTAGAATTACTGAATATCTCTTTATGAAGGAAGAATATATTTTTGCATTCAATGAACTTGCTTTTTTTCCCCTTCAATCTAGTTGTTCACATTAAAGTAGTATTCATAATTACAATCTCTCATAAGTCTCAGTGAAATCTGATTATGGTTCATGGAGGTGGACTTTTATATTGTTTATTAAAGTGATAAAAGAAGACACTGCATTATTTAAGAAGCCAGATGTAGTGTTTTTAAAAGCTTATGTAACCAATAACGGTGCCTCTTCTATGTCTGGTTGCTAGACCTGCTGTCCAGCTGTCATTCTGGGCCTTCACCACATTCTCTTGAGTACATATCTGAGTTCTTTCATTACCCCAATAAAATAAAATAAAGCTCTGTATCCTAGCTTCATACTTATTAGGATGAACATGAACATACAATTGAATTCTGGGTTGAAAATCCTGTTTCTTTAGGATTTTGAGTGAAAACTTCTTGGATTTGACTTTTATGCCCCAAAACTGCCATGTCTTTTCAGTTTTCTGTCAGTTTACCAGCCACTCACCCTGCATCTGTCACTCCACTATGACATGAAAGTTTCAAGGATATTGTGTCTATCCTGGGTGCTCTAAACTTGCATGACACAATGGTTCAGCTTGCACTGTATGAATCATTATACTGTGTACTCTGAAAGTGTTCATTTTAGAGACACAAGTCAAACAATGCTGAGAAATGTTCTCATATTATTTCTATTTTTTTAATCTTTCTGAAAGTCTGACAATTTGCTGATGTGCTTGTACAAGACTACTACTCTTTTTTTATTTTTTCTCTTTTCTCTTCTACTGTCCATTTCTTTATCCTTTTATTCTGCCTTCCTGGAAATGCCCTCCACTTGCATTATGGTTTAGATCTAAAATATCCCTCCAGAGACTCATGTGTTCAGAAGTAGGACATGGTCAGGAGAAGCAGATCACCGGGGACATGACCTAGAAAGGTGTATTCTTGGCCCTGCCCCCTCCCTTCTCTCTCTGCTTTCTGGATGTCATAGGTTGAGCAGCTTTCCTCTAACCATGCCATTTCTGCTTTAGAACCAACCATCTAGAGGACTGAATCCTCTATATCTGTAAGGCACATGAACCTCTCCTCCTTTAAATTGTGGTATCTGGTATTTTGTCCAAATGGGAAAGTGACTAATACAGAAAATTGGTACCAGGAGTAAAGTTACCCTGTGACTGTGCCTGACAATCTGTTTCAGAAGCCTTTGGAACTGGTATAGGGACAGAAGAGACCCCTTAGATAGGATTACCCAAGCCCTTTCAGAGGGTAGAAACAGCAGCTCTCTGTGGCTATGGAGATCGTGGAGCTGCAGATCAGCCTGAAGAACAACTATAACCTCAGAAGGAGAAGTGCTTCTTGGGCACTGTCAGGCTCAAGTCCACACCCTGCTTCCAAGTTCTCCGTGTGCGTCCTGGGGGACCAGAAGCACTGCGACGAGGCCAAGGCTGTGGACATGCCCCACATGGACATCGAGGCGCTGAAGAAACTCAACAAGAATAAGAAGCTGGTCAAGAAGCTGGCCAAGAAGTTCGATGCCTTTCTGGCCTTGGAGTCTCTGATCAAGCAGATGCCACGAATCCTGGGCCCTGGCCGCAATAAGGCTGGCAAGTTCTCTTCCCTGCTGACCCACAACGAAAACATGGCGGCCAAGGTGGACGAGGTGAAGTCCACCACCATCAAGTTCCAGATGAAGAAGGCGCTGTGTCTGGCTGTGGGGGCTGTCGGCCATGTGAAGATGAAAGGCGACGAGCTGGTGTACAACATCCACCTGGCAGAATATCCGGGCCCTTGTACATCAATAGCACCCTGGGCAAGCCCCAGAGCCTGTAGTAGGGCACCCCCAATAAATGTCGGTGCCACCACAAAAAATACTGTTTTTCAAGCAGTTTCGTGGCTTTTCTTATGAAGCAGTCAGTCTGTGGTTTTGCCTCTGAAGCAGGCAACACTGTCTACCCTGCTTCTCCTTTTGCAGGCTGCCATATCTATCCAAGTTCCCCTATTAACCCACAAAATCCAAACCCCTAGCAACATCCAATCAACTCAAACCCAAACCCCACAGCCAGTCAATCAAGTACCAACCCTCACGGGGGAGGGAGACTGGCCCCTTTGCCCATAAAACAGGACCAGAGCCCAGATTCAGCAGTTACCAAGCTCTGGGGCCCTCACTCGCCAGAGTGGCTTTGTACTGCTTCCTTCTACAATTAAAGTTACCTTTGCTTTGCACTGATCTTCTGATTACTCCCCTTTATACAAAAGAGTCAGAGAGACATGCCCTGGAACATTTTGAGGGTGAGCTGGAGATCTACACTGTGTTACAGGAAGAGCCCGGAAAAGTTTAGAGACACAGGCAAGAAAAGTCCTAGAATGCTGTGAGCCAAGCTAGATATGCAATACTAGTCAAAGCTCAGAAGGCCAGGACATGACAGGAATGTTCACAGTAAAGGCAGGGCTCAGGAGGTTTCAGCTGGAAAGGGGGACTCTTGAAAACTGAACTTGAGGACATACATACTTGTTTCTGACAAAGAATCTGTTTATATTTTACTCATGTCCTAAGACTTTATGTGAGGCTGAATGTAAAGGTGTCAGACTATGTAGCTCAGCAGAAGAAATTTCAAGGTAGCCTAACATTTAGTCTGTAGCATGGATACTGCTGGCTACTTTTAGCAAGATGTACAGTGAAAAGCAGAGCAGAATGGTGTGGAAATTTTGCAAATTGGATAGAGAAGAAATGCCCAAAAAGTTGGAGCCAAGGAGAGTGTGGCTGCTGAAAAGATTGGCATTAAAAAGAAGCCAAGTACTTTGTATCAGAACAATAGGAAAGATGACTTAGGGAATCTCAGGAAATGCCCAGACCCCATCCATCACAAATTTAAAAGGGTAGCTACCTTTGAAAGATTTTCCTTTAACAACAAAGCCTGCTGCTGACTGCCCAGCTCTTTCAAAGCAACCTAGGAAACTGTTTCCCCAAACTCAGCCACCCAATCACTCAAGAAACTGCTGCTGCATTGGTTAGCAGACCTGGCTACTGCTAGAGCTGGCAGTAGACCTTGATATCAAGATGCTGTTTTTTTGAGGCTTACAGAATGAAAACGCTGTGAAGTCAAGGAGCCTTCTTTCCAAAAGAAAGCCTGGCAGGGCAAGGGAAAATGTGACAAGAGCACAGTCCCTGCCTAGTGCCCATGAGAAGGAAATGTGTCAAGCTGTTGAGAATAAAGCCAAAGGTGCAGGGAAGATCCCAGGAAGCTGGAGATGCCAGGAAAGTAGAACCTCTGCTGAGGAATGCCACAGACAGCCAGCAGTGGCTGCTTGGGGAAAAGTGGGTTCAACCAACAGAGCCAAAAGGGTGGGGATCCCCAAACTATTTGGAGCTCACATTTCATCACAACCTGCCCTAGATACAAGAAGCTACAGGAGTTAATGTCTGCCCTGCTGAGTTTCAATCTCGCTTGGGTCTGATTCCTTTCTATTCCCCTATTCTTCCCTTTGGTGAATGTTTACCCCACACTATTTTATGTTGGAAGTGTTTAACCCTCTTTTTTATTTTTACAGGCCATACATCTAGGAGTTTGCCTTGGGTCTCAAAAGAGACTTTGGACTTGGAACTTTTCAGCAATGCTGAAACTATGAAGACTTTGGTGACTCTTAAAGATGGACTAAATACATTTCATAGTAAGATGGACATGAAACTTTTGGGGGCCAGGGACAAAAAACTAATGTTGAGATCTAAAATATCTGCTAGGAGTCTCACATATTTGGAAGTGGGGCTTGGTCAGAAGAGGTAAGTCACTGAGGGAATGACCTGAAAGGGTGTGTTCTTGTCCCTGGATCCCCTCTTCTCTCTCTGCTTCCTCACTGCCCTTGGGTGCTTTCCTCCACCAGGCCCTTCTACCAGGCCATTTCTGCCTTGGAGTCAGCCAAACATGGACCGAATCCTCTAAAACTATGAGCCAAAATAAGCCTCTCTTCCTTTAAATTATGGAGGTTGGGTATTTTGGCCCAGCAATGGGAAACTAATGCAACTTCACTTATGATTCTTTTAGTTGAACATTTTATTTCTATACAGTCATATTTTTAATCTCCTCCCCCACTATTTCTTTTTTGCTTCTTGTTATTACTACTGTTTCATTCTTCTCTTTCACAGAAAGCTTTTCCTCAATACATATGGTCTTTAATTCATATTTGGTTATCACTAAAAAGCAGCTTGTGGCCAGGTATGGTGGTTCATAGCTATAGTTTCAGGTACTTGGGAGAAGGTGACAAGAGGATCAAAAGTCCAAGGCTAGTCCCGACAACTTAGCCACACCCTATCTCAAAATATTTTTTTAATTTGTTTTAAAGTACTGGTGATATAACTGAATGGTAGTGCATGTGCCCAATATGTAGAATATATTAGGTTTAATTCTCAGCACTGGAAAAAAAAAAGAAGCAGCAAAAATTGCACTATATGTAGGAGATGAAGACTGTTACCTTGCAAACTTTATTGTGGGTGTGGGCAGCACCAAACATTTTTGTAGAGATGACCCCAACTGTTAGCATCTATATATCTTCTCTTAATACAGTTGTTTTTGCAAGAGAACAAGGCCTGTAGACTCTGACAGACAGTTAAGTATGTGGAATCTAACATCTTTATATATACCTTTTCAATTACTATTTTCCACCGTTAGCCTTCATCCTCTTCTTATACAGAAACTAGAACTCCAAACCTTTTCAAGAATTTTTAAATTTGTTATAATCCCTTCTTACTGGTTTTCCCTATAGTAAGAACTCAAGATTCCTCTGCTTAACTAAATCAGATAAAATTGAAAGGGTTAAGAAAATATAAAGGAAGCCACATACCAGGAAAAAAATTGCCTTGTCTCGCTGTCCCTTTTTTTCAAAATGCATTGAAATTTCTCCGGTCACTACAGATTCTCCTGATCCAGTTGTTTTTGTCAATTTATACTCTTTCTATTTTAATTCCTTTATTTTCATTTTAATGGAAGTTTCAGACAGAGAGAAGATATAAATGGTTGTAGACCGCTGTCCATGTTAACAAGAAGTACAATATTTAACAAGGAAAAACACCGTTATAGAATAATTCACTATTCATTATTTTTATCGTTACTCTAGGAATACTTAATAGTTTATTAATCTGGCATTTCACATTTTTCATTTTAATTATTTTTGAAACCACAATACTATTAACACAATTATTTCTCATGAAGAATTTTAACATACTCTTTTCACAACATTCTCTTTCAAAGTTTGCTGGGATGGGTTACAGCTTATTGGTAGAGGGCCTGCCTAGTATAAAGACCTAGATTCTCAGCATTGAAAAAGAGATTCCTACAAAATACAGTCCAGGCAAGTAATTTTGTCCTCAGGGAATTGTTTTCTGACTTTCACTATAGTTGGAAATGTGCTCCCTAAAGGGAAAGAAGATTAATCCCAGGACACAGTAAAAATCTTCTAAGTTTTAAAATAATTCTGGCTGGGCATGGTGGCGTATGTCTCCAGTACCAGCTATTCTGTGGGTTAAAAGAGGAAGATCACTTGACTCTGAGTCTGAGACCAGCCCAGACAACAAGGAGAGATTCCGCCTCAAAAAAAGAAACAAAATTATTATGAAATGAAAATAAGTTTTACAGAAATGTTAACAAATGCTTAAGTATATCCTATAAATGAAAAAGCCTAATAAAGGAAAAATGGAAGCCTCCCAAATGATCAGAACCATTCTACTGCTCATCCTTCTCCATGTTGATACCCAATCACAGTAGCAATCCCACAAAATTTTTTTAATATTTTGCTTCGCTTCAACAGGCACAAGTGCTATATTAAAAATGAAAAGTCCTAGGGCCAGGGATTTAGTTCAGTGGTTCCAGTGCCTGCCTCACAAATGCAAGGACCCAAGTTCAATCCCCAGTACCAAAAAAAAAAAAAAGTCCTAACGCTAGTTAAAAGCAGATGCAGAAATAGAAAACCTGAAAGGAGGTCTGTACTATGAATAAGCCACAAAAAAAAAAAAAAAAAA